AGAGGAGAACAAGTTGAAATGCCATTTAGGCTTTTGTCCGCGTCGGCAACAGTGTTGGAATCGAGGACGAAGACGTGGACGTGTAGTCAAGGCATTGGTCCGAAAGAGAGACAAGGGTCAACTCGAGTCTGGCGAGACGGAGAGTGGATGCTTTTCAAGTCGGTCACGAGAGGTCTGCAAAAACAGGTCACCTTGACTACGTCTGGAGGTGAAATACTCCTGGACATGGCCACTTAGACCGAGAGGAAATAGCCAGACAGACTATCGACTCTCAGATGTCAGGTTGCCATCGCAACCTTTATTCATTGTTCAGAGATCGCCTCGTCCCCACCCCAAAAGGCATCGGCAACAAAAAGGCCGCGACTCAACCGGTCAACTGTGAGATTCTTCAATGCCTATTCCCGTTCGGCGAACACGTCTGTCAATCTCATCCCCTCGAGCAGACATACGTTAGGGGTTATGCAATGTCTGTACTGGTGCCGTTGCACCCTGACAACCGTTCACCGAGGTCACGCTCTGCCCTAGTGACTCAGAGCATGGCCTAGCCACCCCGTGCCCCACCCTGAGTACGTACACACCCAAGCGTGAATGAGGTTAGATCAACATGAACAGGACTATGAAAATCAACATATTTCTGTGCGTATACACGTAGAGAGTTGCTTTTTTAGCCTTGAGCATGTACAACATGAGCTAGTGTGTAGCCGAAAGACTCGTGGCCACCGGAAATCCCACCCTTTAGTATACCAATTGTCGCTATTATCCTTTTGCAGAATCACACTACAGTTGTTGACCTGGGAAAATGAGGGAAATTTACACACAAGAGTGGAATATAAACGTGCCAGAAGTTGTGATGTTGCACGTCAGACAAAAGGATAGGAAGTAGATTGACTTGACACACATGACACGGTGCGTCCAACTGAGTTGCCCTGACAACACGACCACATATATAGAAAGAAAATTCACATTCAGTCATATCGTTCATCACCTTAGACGAAATAGAGTGAGTACATCTCATATTACTGATTTACTGGCAGTCTCGAGGCTCTACTTATATGCGAATGTAGTGGATTGTCATGGCAAAAATACGTTCGCCTCATCGACAATTCCACCAGAGAATGTGCTATGAGAAAGGGCCTAGCCTTCCTTGCAATTCACATCTGCCCTGTGGTCGAGTGGTTAACGTGTCACGCTCACATGCTGCACTGTTACGGTTCGAGTCCCGTTGGTGGTGTTGATAAGACGGAAAGGGGCCATAACTGGATGAGGTCAGCTTTTGTGAAATTTAATGGAAACGTCAGCAC